AATTAGACTTTCCTAACAGTGTATCTTGTGCTGTTGTGGTTACAGAAGCTATATATTGTCTGTGATGTTGCTCTCTTCGTGATCGCCAACAAGAGCACTGCATGCCACCTGGAATCTCCAAAAGAGCCTGTATTGCCTTCCAAGTTCTTCCTCGTACAGGACAAGGCAATGCATATGCACAAACACACAAACACATTGTAGATATTTATCCTTATGAGAATGGAATGATTCCAAAATGACCCCTATTTGAAACATCTCAAATATAGATACACTAATTTCCTTTCCTATTGGAGACAGAAAAAAGTGGCCTTATAACATTAAATGTTTCAAACTCTTCTGAAGAACGACTTGCATCCACTCAGCGATAGACAGATATGGGCACACACTTTGAAGATGAAAGCCAAAAGCATCTTTGTGGTTGCAATATATTGTTTAGCAGTTTATGCTCGTTAAAGTTTTCTGTTGTAATTTCTCTCAGCAGGACTTCAAAAATGACAAAGAGTATCTGTCAGCAGATATGAGACAAATGCTGCTCACCGGAAAGGTAAATACAAAAACCTTAGGCTTTCATAGCCACTGTAAATACATACACTGTTTTTTTATTGGAGTACAGTATGGTGTGGTGCTGTATGGTGTGAAAATTAATTTTGCTTATACAGGTATGCTTGTGAGAACTACATGTAGCAACGTGAACAGAGATTTGAGTGACGTATTGAAGCTGAATGATTATGGATTAATTTTACAAACGCTAATATAATATGTGGATCTGACTTATCAAATATAAACAACTAGATGCAGAAACTCCTTCCCTCCTTTTATGTAGCCTAAACCAGCACCAGTGTTAGGGGCTGTGAACAAGCCTCTGACAGTACCAGGGAGAAGGGTCTTCCCCAAGACCACCGCAGCCTCAGACACAGCCAGCAATACCAGCACCTCTCCCCTGAGCTCCTCCTCCATCAACAAGAACAGGTAATCAAACACACAGTACACTCTCGCACATACTCACTTTGAGAAAATAATGCTTTCTTCAGCCGAGTGGTTTTTAAAATGTCTTGTAGTAACAGCAACACTGCCACTGAGACATCAGAGAGCCAAGCACAGGAAAACAACGAGAACCCAGTTATCAAGAATGATGAGGGGAAGAAGGTAAGCTCAGGGAGGAGAACCAGATGTCGACTGGAACTACATGCAAAGCAGCTTCAAGCAATATCTTCTCGCTGTCCTTCAGGAGGAGTCGAGTCAGAATGTTACCCCTGACTCGGGGACAGATGCGTCACCTGTCAAAAGACGTGGCCGTCCACCGAGAACAGCTGCTGGAGCTGAGAAGGATGGAGCAGCAGCACCAACGGGGGGTGGAACTGGCAGAGGCAGGAAGAGGGCAGCTGACCCCAACTCGTCTGCAGAACCAATCAAGGTGTCAAAACAGCAGCAGCAGAACGATGAAGGGACAAAGAGACAGATTGACTTGCAAAGGTAAGAGTGGAGAAAGGAGCTGAGGACAGAGAAAAGGCACAACCACTTCAAGCTGGAATCACAGCTTGGTCTCACTGGCAGAGAAATAATGAGCAAGAGGAAACTGACATGCAAAAGGAAAAGCTAGTTACATAGTTTGTCTCTTAACAATAGTTAGTGAATCTACCCTAAACCTGAGATATCATAGGAATCCTACTGTCCTTTAACTCTTTTTCTCAGCAGGTGGCCACTTGTGAGCAAACAGAAAGGAAAAAGTGAGACAGAGGGAGCCTGAAGAGGAGACAGGGAGAGCTATAGAGACAGTTGCCCTCCTCCTGGGTGTTGTGGGCACACACAGAGATACACACAAGAATCTGTGCAGCCTGGTCCCTGGTCCAACATATATAGCCAGGGACATACTGAGCCTACAAGGAGGAGGGTTCCCTCTGGCAGACAGGGAGCACAGCAGTGGAGAGAAGGCAGGTGGACCGACAGTGAGTTGTTTAGTCCAAGATGTCTGTAAACACAGTGCAGGACCAGAACTGTCTAGATTTTGCATCTTGCTTGAGTTTGTCTCCTAAAGAAATAGTTCAGTGCGTCTGCAGGGCCTTAAAATGCATTAAAAGTTCATAAATCAATTTAGGAAAATTAAGGCCATTAAGAAGTGTTTAAAAATTAGAAGTATTATATTTGTAACTGTTTTTTTATGTGAAGAGCCTATTTGTCCAAAGTTTCATTGCTAAAGGTCAGTGCAAATTTAATTCATAGTAAACTGAATATCTTTTCGAACTGTTGGTTGGACAAAACAAGACCTTAAGATGTTTGAGGATGTCACCTTGTGCTCTGTGCTTGGCATTTTCACTCAACATTTTCAATGTTTTATGGAGTAAATAATCAGCAGATTAACTGATTATAAAAATAATTGTTACTTCTGTAGCTCAGTCTTTGCTCTGACTTTATGGGAGTAGAGTGCCACATCATTGCATCTGAAAGCTACAGACTGAATACATTGGACATGCAGTCAGTGATGTAGTTGTTTTTGGCACAAGATTTTACTTAAGGTTCCAGGACTAAATAGCTGTTTCCTTTTATAAATGTATACCAAGTGGTTTGCAGTAGTCATTGCACACAAACATAGGAGATTATTAGATTGATAATTAACTTGCAGTATATTGTTTATTGGTCAAAAAAGGTTTTTTTTTTTCCTCTTTTAGTTTCCACAGACATAAAAGTAGACTAATTTTAAGGAAATTAAAATGCGATCTTCAGTCAACAGCCACATATTTTGTGGTGGAATTTCTAAAATGATTCAAAGCAGGTGGTACAGAGTATGCAGGAGAGTGAGCCCAAGTTTAATTTGTCATATGTTCTTGTGAGGCCATGATTCGACGGAGCATGTTTTAGCTGCTGGGAGCGGCTTTTTAACACTGTTTTCAATGACAGTGAGGCGTTTTGCTCACTGGTTTTGTGTTGTTGAGTGCCTCGCATTTTTCAGCTTCATGTGTCCCATGTTTTTTTTTTTTTCCTCCATTGTTCGGTCCAGTGGATTGAGAAGCAAGCACTCTGTGATGGTGACCTGAAATATGGGCTAGAGTTGACCTATTGTAAACCAATGCTCAGTCACTCGGTCCAACCGATGGACTCAGTTTAGTTAAAGGCTACTGGTGATGCGAATGATTGCCCCCGACTTAAAATAAACCCCGAGGTGACCATCATCTATGAGAAACTCCTGGACCTGCCGGCGGCACTTTGGCTCATGTACCCATGTGGATCATCTTTCCACTTTGTCCAGTATTTGAGAGAAGCCTCTCATCAGAGCCATAGAAAGTGCCCTCCCTCTGTCTGTTTTTATGCTTAGATAATGGGCTAAGTTAGATAAGATAATAGTAGTATACATTCTTTATGTTTAGATGAATTATGAGTGTTTATATAAATGTTTAAATAGCGGTTAGGCTAGAACAGTTACTCAGTGATTGCCTAGTAACAATAAAAAGTGCCAAGATTGTCTTTTTTTTTTTTTTTAAATTGTAGGCTTCAACAAAAAAGGCAGTGTGGTGTGCCTCACATTTTGTAACCTGTAAAATGTGCTCTGTCTGAGCACGACCTTGTGCTTCTCTATCATAGCCAGTAATATAACATTCCATAGCTGAGCTCAACACAAAGATAAGAGAGAAGACCAAGGACATCTCTCTCCCTGCTGTAGCTTCATGTTGTGGGAATGTTAGTTCTTCTGCCTTTCTAATATCAGTGTAAAACATTAGGCTCACTTCAGCAGAAATAACAAGGCACCTCATTTTGGATGAGCACACCCAGGTTATATACAGTGAGACTACGTGTTAACATAATGCATCAAATACATGAATCAGTGACTGATTTATTTTAACTTCATAATCATTGTGTGACTGCAATCCACAGTGAATTTATTGTGGCAGTCAAAGTAAGAAATCAGGTAGATGTAGATTTTCCACAACATATTTACATCAGTGTGAGGCACTTGTGGTTATAGAAATGGGCTGACAGTCTGAACTTTGTCTTTCAGGTAAAAAGGAAACCAATGGAGATGAAAACAAGACTGGAGAGAATAGGCCAGACTCTTCCTCAAACCTTCCCATCCCCTGTGTACACGCTCCTCTGACTTTTAAAGCTTTCCTGGACACATGGACCTTTCTTAAAACACACACATTGCAATATACACACATGCACCCACATACCACTTACATCCTAGAAGGTTTTAAACACCTTGTAGTCATGAAGCTCATTGTATGTAGATCTTACTCAAAAAACATGTTATTTTTTCCTTTGTGTTTGTTGCTCTTTGCTTCTTTTGTGGAGCCATTTTTAAGAAAAAACAGGATGGACATTTTCCAAAATTTTAATCTGGTTATGATTGTTGCTTATTAAATTCCCTGGGGAAAATCCTGCTGTATGTCTCCTGACTTCTTCCTCCTTGTCTTGTATGGTTTTTTTTTTTTTTTTTTTTTTTTACTTTGCACCAGTTTTATTTAACACACTAATATTTTGAAAATGGCCATATGTAACTTCCCTGTTAATATCAACGACACTTAAAAACTGCAATAAATGGCTCAAAATGGGGACAGCTGTGCATTTAATAAACGAGCCAGATAGAAAATATTGGTGGGTTCTTAACTGCTACCTGTAATATTTCAAAACCTTGATTTCTTCACGTTGTGTTAATGGACAAGTTTTAGCTTTAAGTCATTTCTGGGTAATGTCTTCCAGGCTATGTTTGCTCCTCGCCTTGACTGGTCAGGGGCTCTGACATTGAGCTGGGTTTTAATATCTTTTTTGGTACAGTACTTCACTTTGGAATGCATAAATGATATATTACTATTTCAACATGCGCAGGTTTTGGTTAATCTTTAAAATATTTTTGGTACTTTTTCTTTTTAAACATCAAGTGAATGAACACCTTGCAGGTCATATTTCATTTTCTGTCTCCAGAAAACAAATACCTTTAGTTGTATGTCTTGACATGTTTTGAGGTGCAATGCTTTCAGAAAACAAGGTGAGCAAATTTAAATTTTCACTTTTTTTTTTTTTTAATCAAAGAAACATGACACTGTCACAATAAATAACCATGCTTTTTATACCGCTGATGCTTCCAAGGAAACGGAAGAGGAAAACAAGTCCATTCAAATGGAGAAACTCAGATTCAAACAGCCCCTTTTTATGCTCTGTTGTCGTGCAATATTGTACATAGTGAGAACACCAGGAGAGATGGGGAGAAAGGGGGCTTTGTCCTTTTCTTATAGTACACAGATCCAGCCATCAATGGTGAACTCTAGTGATAACAAGACTGCTCTTAACAAGAACAAGGTTATTTACAAATACAAGTTATTTGGCTCTAGTTGGAAACCATTCACTGTTGTCAGAGGAGATTGCACAACAACTTGGTGTAGTACTGTAACATGCCGCTGTTGGTAGGGACTGAGCTGGAGGGCAAGCAAAAGATAGTTTAAAAAAACAAAAACAAAGGTCATGTGTGAGGATGTATCAACATCCCACTTATATATATATGCTAAGCACTTGTTTACAGTTCATGTACCTCAAACTGAAATTTGTGAAAACACTGCAGGCCTGTTATCTGCTTCATAAAGTAAGAGAGGAGTTCCAGCCTCTTTCATTACATAAGACATCATTTGAAGACCTCAATGAGCATTGTATTTGGCTGTGTAAAGCATGCTTGGACATATAAATGTGTATATATGGCCAGAGCGCTGACTGGGTACTGCTGGGCTGGGTCAGTGATTAGCGATAAATCTCCCCCTCAAGACTGAGAGGGCGACCCGTAATCCGTGGCTGAACATAACATGACTGTGGATGAAACACAGGACCTTTAAAAACAAAAACAAAAAAAACAGCACTTCAACTCAAATTCTTAATCACATTCAGAAAAATGCCCGTTTCTTCTCGAGGTGTATGCCAGATGAATCTGTTCAGAGCAAAAGTAAACATTTTCCAGCAACATCCTCATGAGATGAACAGAAAAGGCTTTGGTTCCCTACATATTTCAAGCCAAACTGGGTGCTTGAGTGGCTTGCTGAGCAGAGGATCCAGGCATCTCCTTCCACACATTAAAGTCTTGTTCCACAACGCTGAAGGGATGTTAAAGATGCACAGATGATAAAAGACACAAGGTTGGATTGTGGTGCGTCATGTAATGACCTTCAGGGGCCTGAGCTGCCACCTGCTGTGCCATTAGACCCGAGATAATGGGCTGTACCACCCTTAAGCAACAGGACATTCAGGGGGATTTCTTGTGGGTCACAAAAGCATAAAAAGATTTCTCTTCCATAGAGTTGTAAACTAGACAGTTTATATTTAAAATAACTTTTTACAATGCCATGAAAGAAAAAAGATATCCCCACTGTATTTTCAAATGTACACCCATCTATTTACAGATAACGTCTTTCTGCTGTGCATGTGTGCAGATGTCGAAGAATATCTGTGATTTTCCTACAGTACATTCAGAAAGAAAACCTGTACATCCAAACCTCTGTAGATGATTGAAGCATCTATGTCAAACTGCTCAGGAAAAAAATCTGTTGCACTGCTCATGCAGATCACTATCCAGTCAAGTAAATTTCATCCAGCTGGACCATTACAATATTAAGAGTCCATAAAAGAGAACAATCTGACACAAGGTCCGACTGGCTGCTGAAGGAGTAAATGGCGATGTATTGTGGGAGTAGTATGCAGGACCTCCTTTACATTTTACCATGGAAAATCCATCCGTTATTTGATTCTTCGCAATATTAAGGAACTCAATCTTGTAGAAAACATACAGCCAATGTGACTGAAGGGCATGGGAGGCAAGATGTATGACTAAGAATTTTCTGGGCTTACAATCAACATAATGGAGAGATGGGATCAGAGGTAACAGGATGGTGTGCATATTAGCAACTGTGGTGCTACCGGTTTTGAGTTTGTAGCATACAGAGGTGTTACAAAAGAAGGCTCAGACTGCTGTGGTGGATGAGGTGCTGTCTGTGTAAAAAAAAAGGCAAAGGTGGAATGGTGCCGGTGGGTGGGAGCTGATGCTATGATGAAGTGGGGGGTTGGGATCCTCACACCTGGCTGGGTTTCAGTTGCTGAGAAGCAGCTCTGTTGCTGTTTCCACATCCCATGATTTTGAAGACAATGCTGCTATTACTGCATTCTGTATGGGAGGGGGAAGAGTATTTTTAAAAATGATTGTAATATAGATGTCATTTTGGAATATCAGATTAATAAAGACTGATAGTTGTATGTTCTTATGAACATCAAATACAGTCAGGGAAAAAATTATTTGAACCCCAGCTGATTTTGTAAGTTTGCCCACTAACAAAGAAATGATCAGTGTTCAATTTCAATGGTAGGTTTATGTGAACAGTGAGAGACACAACAATAACAAAAAAATCCAGAGAAATGCATTACAAAAAAAGTTGTACATTAATTTGCATTTTCATGAATGAAATATGTATTTCAGCCCCTATCATTCAGCAAGATCTCTGGCTCCCAGGTGTATTTTATACAGGTAAGGAGCTGACATTGGGAGCCCTCTCAGCTCGTTACCTGTATAAAAGAGACCTGTCCACAGAAGCAATCAATCAATCAATCCAGATTCCAAACTCTTCACCATGGCCAAGACCAAAGAGCTTTCCAAGGATGTCAGGGACAAGATTGTGGACCTACACAAGGCTGGAATGGGCTACAAGACCATCGCCAAGCAGCTGGGTGAGAAGCTGACAACAGTTGGCGCGATTATTCGCAAATGGAAGAAACATAAATTAACTGCCAATCTCCCTCAGTCTGGAGCTCCTTGCAAGATCTCACCTCGTGGAGTTTCAATGATAATGAGAACGGTGAGGAATCAGCCCAGAACTACTCAGGAGGAA